ATTTAGCATAATACACATATAATTTTAATTTTAATAATTTTAATTATTGAGTTAATATATATTATAATTAAAGGCTTATACAAATAGATTGGACACGCGATAATTAATGTTAACATTGAAATACAAAATTGGTCAGATATCTTTTTTATCAAATAATCAAATGCGGGGAGCGATGTTGTAGAAAATATATAAGAACAAATGAAAAGGAAAAAAAATAAAAAAAAAGAAATAAAAAAATGGGAAAAAGACAGAGAGCATAATGCGCATTTCTTTTGAAGAGTAAGACCATTTTATCTCGTTCCTCCTTTCTATTATACCAATTATACTATCGGATAAGGAAAATCTGATTCACTATAGTTTTCTTTTATTAATGCTATCCTTATTTTTTCAATAGGAACATATAATCTATTTATGTAAGTTTATTATAATTATTTGTATATACATATCAGATTAACTGATTTTTTAATATACGCAACTCGAATTTGTTTTATAATAAAATTTGTATCAATACCTTTATGTTTGTATATTTCTATTCTTCCATGACATACATTTCTTGTACACATGTAAAATATACCATCGAAAATTTATCAAATTATATTTTAACACAGTTGTTTAAATTGCGAGGAACACGAAATTATTTACCATTAAATTATGATTTTTTAGCGATTGCAACTTGTCGCAATTCCAAAAAAATATTGAATTGTTTAATCATTCTTGTAATTTTAGGATTTTAGAAATTTTATTCTTGTAACTTAAAATTTGTCTTAAATATATTTTATTTTAGAAGAAAAGAAATTTATAAAAATATTGACAAAATAAATATTTTTATTATTTTCCGAAATATCATACACAAAATTTTTAAAATAAAAGAAAAATATCTTTATAATATGTAAACACTTCGTTACATATTGTCCAAGTTTCAGCATATTTATAGTTTTGTTCCTTATAATGTCCGTTAGTCTCAGTAGTATGAAAATAATCAGATAAATTGCTTCGTGTGATTGCTAATTTCTTGCTCTACATCAAAGTCTTTCTTTTCGCAATTACAGGTTGACTTCATTGGTTCTTATTATAGAAAGCAAACGCATATTCTTTGTTTAGTATTACTGGAAATGAATAAATAATCAACATGAGTAAAATAAGTGAGCGAATGAAGCTTATAAATCAGTATTATGATAACCTAGAATATAGAATTAATAAAAAAGTGAATATAAATATGATTAATTTATACAAAAATAGAAGTTGTGATGTATAGTCTCATAAACTGTAAATTTAATTTATATTGCTAATAAAATGTTTCGTCCTATTTTTATATGTTTTTAGGAAGCACTGGAAAAGATAAATACTTTAATCAAGGATATAAAATTGGAACATGTTAATCCGCCTCAAAGGTAAATATGAACAATAAATTAATCCCAAGTTAACAAAAATGTAAAAATATAAAATGCTATTATTTTCCTTCAATAGATATCAACAAGTAGCATCTATAATAGAAAAGAATATTTATCTTTTCAAAGCTTGTGAGGATGTGGATACAGTTACTTCTATTATTAATTATTTATATGATGCTAGTATAAAAATGACATTTGATAGTAAGTACAATGCATTACTAATACAAATAATACTAATACAAATGTTGTAAATGTAAGTGTACAATTTTGTAAATGTAAAGTAATGATTTATCGACATAATCATTTCAGCTTTTTTTTTATTTCTTTATATTATTTGTATCCAATATAGTCTGCTTATCGATTTACACTCAAAGGGCTCTCAAACATCATTTTTCGTTGTTTAACATTTGATAAATGGCAAGGAATGATTCCATAATCCGAGCCTAAAAAATTAGGACGCAGACATGAAAATAAGTACTGTTTCTATATGAATTATTTTGTTTTGTTTTCTCTTTCCTTTTTTAGGTCAATTATTTATTCATGGTGATATAAGGATATTATATGGAATGGATATTATATGCGAGGAACCTATGACTCCATTATTTTTGAAAACTGTCTTGTTGTAATTATATATCTTTATTTTTTTATATTGTTAAACTAATTATTACATACATTATTTAGTATTTTTACATTACATTAAATTAATACTATCATACATTTTATGAATATCATTTTTTTGTTTTCCAGCAACGAGTTTGATCTGAAGTGTGGATATGATTATATTAGACAACTAAAATTTAGTAAGAGAAAGATATATCTAAAAATTATTAATATTAAAATATAAATTAGTTATTTTTTATTCTGAAACCAAAATTTTTTAAATTTATAGATTACATCATTACTATGGTTTTGCTACAAGATTCAGACTTGTATGCAGTTATTAGCTACTTAAAGATTAAACCTTCTTCTCTGTCAAAGATAAGCAGAATTTTTGTTCATGAAACAATAAAAAAAAAATTTTTATGGCTTATAAAGAAACATTTACATTTTACTAGGCATATGAATTTGCCCATATCTGTATTTCAAAAAACACACGATTTAGAAACACTTTTTAGATACGAAGTTTTAAATATTGTATCTATATGGTCAGAAGACATTATAGCTGCAAAAGATTTAGCAGGTTTCTTAAATGTATGTAATACAATTTAAATGATGTAATACATTTCTCGAATTATCTACATAGTTTTGTTGAAACAATTTCTGTTTTGGATAGAGAGATATTGTATTCATAAATTCACTCTTGGAGTTCTGCAGTGGTGTCAAGTTTGTTTACAAATTTAGTTATGATAACGATATGCATTTAAAGATTTACAATATAAGTCCAGAAGATTATACGTATACGGTTCACCAAAGTCTAATAAAATGTGCACTTTATTCGTATAACCTTTTTTATGATGGTACATGGCAAATTCCCATAAAGGGAAAATATTGGGAGAAGCAGAGTGAAACTGAAGTCATTATATATGCAAACGCAACCAAGTACGTAATATTTTTCTTACGCTTCTTCTTTAATAATTACATTCTGCAATAATTTTTGGATATAAGAAACTGAATAAAAATGGTATACTAAATTTTTTATTTATACAATATTTTACAGGCACGATGTAGAGAAATGTATGATATCAGCTATGAAAGCATTTATAGTTTGGAGTACTTGGTCTATGGCTTCTAGGATAGAAGCATTGTATAGACTCGCGTCTATATTAGAATGCCATGGGTATGTTAAATTTAAAAAAAATTTGTATGCACATGTATAGCTTTTTATCTTGTTAACTTTTATATGCGTTTATTCGTAATAATTTTTTAACACATATCCTCTTTTTGTCCTTTTTTTAGCAAATATTTATTAGCGGAAATAGTATTACATTGTATAAAAGTCCCCGATATTTCTCAAAATGAATTATTCTGTGATTACGATGAAAGATTAGAAGTGAGCAATATGTATAAACCAGAGGGTGTTGCGTGGATAGAAGCTGCTGCTGAATCGAATCTGTTTAATTATCTAGCACGGTTTTTAATTAAAGGCAATTGTGTTATTGTGATATCAGATGAATGTTTAAGTACCATAGCACCATACTGTAACATGTTCGTTACAGCTAAGATACCGCCAGGTGTTATAAATTTGTTATCCTTCAAGAATGCTAAAGATACTTATGGGCACATCAACTTACATATGCAACAAATATATAATTCAATGAAGTATATCATACTCCCTCTTCAATAATTTTAAAACATTAAATGCTAATATTTATCTTTGCTAAGTAAATATCTATTTATAGAATAATATTCATATTTTAAATGTCACTTTTTAATATTCATTATTATAATACATTATCATATATACAAATCTTTGGTGTCATATATCAATTAACATTTTAATATAAAAATAAAGTTTATACTGATTAATTTAACATCGTGTTTCTTATTTATGTTTAATCTTTAATATTTTATATGAATTACATATTTAAAAATATTAAACTCTTATCGCTTTAAGTTATAATATATAAGTATTTAGGTTAAATGTTATAACTAATATTTATCTTAATTTGTAAGTATTAGATACAGAAGTAGACTTTATTCGAATAACAATTTAAAGACTCTTTAAAAACTCTCCATAAATTAAAATTTTACAAATTTCTTTAGATAATTTTTTTATCTTCATTATATAAGCGATGTACTTTGAGCATATTTTTTACTCTTACAAATTCCGTTAGAAATTTTTTACTCTTACAAATTCCGTTAGAACAAATAGAATGTAATATATTCGACTTGGTTCTGTTTTATTGTGCGTTTCTTTCTTGCAATTACGGAGCATATGATATAAAAGCATATGAAAGGTATTGCAAACATTACAGGATTGTTTATGCGAAGAAGATTAAATTTATAGTGAGGAAGATTAAATTTATGGTGAGGAAGATTAATTGCATATTGATATAATTGATTTCTAACAGAATGAAACTTATCGAAATCGAATCTGTATGCAGACCGAATTGCGAATCCTATCCGTTTTATGTACAATCAATTTTGAATGTTTTTCTACATCTCGCAAAATTAGATACGAATATCTGTCTGCATCTATTTGTAACGATGACATTATTTTCGAACGATGTTTAAAAGATCATAATGACAAAATGAATATTTGTATTAGTTTCCTAAATATCTTATATAAAATCATTAAAATGAAAACATAAAAATATCTCTATACGTATACATTTCGTTACATATTGTTCAAATTTTATCATGCTTACATTTTTGTCCTTTACAATATCCGTTAGTCTCAATATCATGAAAATATTTGTCAGATAAAGTGCTTCATGTGATTGCTAATTTCTTGCTCTATATCAAAGTCTTTCTTTTCGCAATTACATAGGTTTGACTTCATCTATTCTTATTATAGGAAGCACACGCATATTCCTTCTTCAGTATTATAGCTGGGATAATCAATTTGGACAAAATGAGCGACCGAATGAAAACTGTAAATCAATATTACGATGATCTAAGATATATGATCGATAAAAAAGTGAGTATAAATACGATTAATGTACAAAATATTATATTGAAAAATTGTAAAATATAATCTTATAAACAGAAAACTTAATTTATATCGCTGTTAAAATGCTTCGATCTGTTTTTATATCTGTCTTTAGAATATATTGGAAAAGATACGTGCTTTAACAAAGAATATAAATGTTCCAAATATTAATGACAAGCGTAGGTAAATAAGAACAATAAATTAATCTTAAATTAATGGTGATATCAAAAATATAAAATGCCACTATCTTTCTTTAATAGATTCATGCTAGCAGCAAGTGTAATAACAGAGAATATTTTTCTTTTCAAAGCCTGCGAAGATGTAGATACGATTACTTCTATTATTGAGTACTTATATGATATTAATGGAAGAATGATGTTTGATAGTAAGTATGCGATACATTGAAATATTTAATATTTTTACTATTGTACTGTAATAATGTATCGACTTAAATTATTATTTTGTTTGTTTTTGTTTAGTTTTCTTGTATTTGTATGTAATATATGTAAGTTGCGTTTCAATTTACGCTTGGAGCATTCGTATAATTTGTACTTGTTTAATATTTGATAAACCACTAGTATAAAATGATTCTAGAAACGTAAATCTAAAGAAATACATATTGTTTTTATAGGAATTATTTTATTTTTTGTTTTGTTTGTTTTTTCTTTTTTCTTTTTCTTTTTTTTTTTTTTTTTTAGTATCGATCATACACTTTTAACGAAATAAGCATAATATATGCGATGGATATTATATGTGAGGAATCTGAAGTCCCATTATTTTTGAAAGCTATCCTTTTGTAATTATATATTCTTACAATTATTACGATGTTAAATTAGTTATTAAAGATATTATTTTATATTTTTGACATAACATTAAATTAATATTATCATATATTTTATGAATGTCATTTTTATATTTTTCAGGAACAATTCTAATCCGACTATTGATAAACAATATGACAAAGTAACATTTGGTAAGAGATATACTAAATCTAAAATATAAATTAGTTATTCTTTATTTTAAAATCAAAATTTTTTAATTTATATAGATTACATCAATGAAATGATTTTGCTAGAAGATTCAGACTTATATGCAGTTATTAGCTATTTAAAGATTAAGCCTTCTTCTCTATCAAAGATAACCACAATTTTTGTTCAAGAAATAATAAAGGAAAAATTTTTATGGCTTATAAAAAAACATTTAGACTTTGCCCGTTGTATGAATTTATCCATTTCTGTATTTCAAACAAGTCAAGAATTAAACTCGGCTTATAAGCCTGAAGTTTTACATATGGTGTCTATATGGTCAGAACATATTATAGTTGCAAAAAATTTGGCACTGTCCTTAAATGTAATAAAATTTAAATGATGTAAAACAATTATTAGAATTATCTATAGCTTTATTGAAATAATTTCTGCTTTATAGAGAGATATTGTATTCATAAATTCAAACATGGAATTCTGTAGTGGTAGCTACTTTCTTTTCAAATACCAACAGTGTTATGACATATTTACTGAATATTACAATGTATGCCCAGAAGATTATACGTATACAGATAAAAATAAAAAGAAGGTACTTGAAATATACAATCTTTTTTATGATGGCAAATGGCAAATTCCCTTAAAAGCAACATATTGGACGATGTGGAATGAAATTAAACGTGGAAATATTATGTATGCAAACGCAACCAAGTACGAAATATCTTCCTTGTTTTTCTTTTCTATCAATAAACTTCTGCAATAATTTTTGGATTTAAGAAACTTAATAAAACTGACATAGTAAATTTGTATTTAAATAATTTTTTGCAGGTCCGATATAACAAAGTGTGCACTATCGGCTAAGAACGGATTCACAACTTGGAGTACTTGGTCTATGGCTTCTAGGATAGAAACATTGTATAAACTCGCATCTATATTAGAATGCCAGAAGTTCGTTAATTTTTTAAGCATTTTTTTCTATACATCTTCAACTTTCTTTCTATTATTCAATTTTGTGTCTTAATAATTCTTTAACAAATGTGTTCTCTTTTTCAGTAAATATTCAATAGCAGAAATAATATTACAATGTATAAAATTGCCAAAAGTATCAGAAAATGCATTAGTTTGTTATCAAGATGAAAGATTAGAAGTGAGCAACATGAGTAAATCAAGAGGTATTATCTGGCTACAAGAATATATCTCTCATGAATCGCGTTTGTTTTATAATCTGATAACAGCTTTAATTAAAGGCAATTCTGTTATTGTGTTAAGTAATGAAGAATCGTGTACTATAGCATCTTACTGTAACATGTTTACAATAGCTGGAATACCTCCTGGTGTTATAAATTGGTTATCCAGTAAAGATACATTTACTATTGATATTTACCGAAAAATACTATTACAATTAAGTTTGATAAGTTCTTCAATGAAATATATTATACACCCTCTTAAATAATTTTAAAAACATCATATATTAATATTTATCCGTGCTAAGTCTATATCCATTTTTACAATTTTTTTTCTTTTCCTATCTATTAAAGCATATTCACAATTTTTAAATGTTATAATTTTCAAATATTATTATCTACATATATTCATATTATAAATTATTAATTAGTCTTAAAAATAAATTCTATATTGCTTAAATTTAATATTTGTTTTTCATATTTATTCTTTAATCTTTAATATTTTATTACGAATTGCACATTTAAAGATATTAAATTCTCAGATTTAAAGCATTATATTCAGTGTTCATATCTTAATTAATAAATATTAGATATACAAATAAATTTTACTTAAATAACAATTTAGTTCAATTTAAAAACCTTTTATAAAATAAAACTTTATATACTCCTTTCAATTATTTTCTTATCTCTATTATATAAACTATCTACTTTGCCTTTCTTACAACATTCGACATAAAATATAATCAACAAAAAATATTACCAAAAATATTACTAAAAACTAGCAATACGATAAAAAATGCATATATATTGAGTATGTAATAAAACAATACTATATCTCATTATATTTTAATTTATTGAACTTGTATTTTTAAAATGACAGTATTTTATATTATGTGCTTGAAAAAAATATTAATCCTCCCAATGTAATTATAAAATAAATGTCGCATATTTTTATTCTTAAGAATATATCACATCGATTTATATCGACATGAACTAGCTTAGAAAACAACAATAAATAAAATATACATAACAAAATTAAAACAAAATCATATTATATAAGTCTAAATAAATAAAATTAATAAAAAAAGAATACATACATCGTCCATAGGAGATTACCATAGTGATATTATTAGTGATATAATTCGTTATTCCATTTAGTAAAATATATATTGTAAAAGTAAATTTTTAAGAATTATTTAACAAAAAATTGTATACGCTTAAGATAAAATTCGAGTAAAATTATATTGTTTCAATATTTTATTCCAAAATTTTATAAATTAAAAACCAAATAACGACTTCAGATCGTTTAGTGTAAGTTTAGTGGCATTAGTCTTGGTACCGCTCAATACGTTCGTCGCTATTTCAAGTTTTCGTTCTTGCAATGTTTTGATACGTTCTTCTATTGTATTAGCACAAATAAATCTGAAATAGAAACGCAAAGATATTAAAAGAAATTTTACAAGAAATGCATGAGAATCAAACATATACCAACTTGTAAATGTATACATTCTTTGTTTGACCAAAACGGTAAATCCTATCTTGTGCTTGTGTTTCTAACTGCGGATTCCAATGGATGTCAAATAATAACAAATGATTGCCGCCTACCAAATTTAATCCTACTCCGCCAGCCGTAAGCGAAAGCAATAAAATTTTTGGACCGGAATTTCGACTGTTAAAAGATTCCATTATACCCTAAAAGAAAAACACATAAGCATTCATTTTTAACAAGATGCAATAATATATATGAACAAAATCCATACTTGTCGATCTTTGATAGCAACATTTCCTGTAAACTTGCTAAATGTAGCACCTTTTATCAAGGGCAAATGTGTTGCTATAACATCCAATAATGTCGCCCATTGCGAAACGATAATGAGTTTATCATCATCCTTTTGTAAAATTTGTTTGACCGTGTTAAGCAGCACCCTCATCTGAATCATTATGTGTCGCATTAATCAAATAAAATTGTGCATCATCTCATATTATATAATTATAATATACCTTTGAACTAATGCGATCATCATCAAATACCGGATTCTCAGATGTGAGTACATTTCCAACTATCCTCTGATCAATACCGATTTCATTCTCCTCTGTATTATCCTCGATTCCGTTAAGGGATATATTATTTACTCGCGATAATAAATCAGCATCCACGTTTTCTATATCCATCATCCCGCTCTGTTTCACGTCTTCTTGATCCAACATGGCGTGAATCAATGCCGGGTGGCAACATACCTGACGCAATCGCAACAGAAGTACCAAAATTTCATGTGTCTTTACATCAGCGTGCATCGATAACAATTTGTTTTGCGCTTTGGTAAACTGAGTATCTTTATCTTAAAAAAAGAAAAGCACAGATAATTGTACATTTAACTGATACATTTTAATGACAAGATACATTTTACTTCGAGTAAAATTATCTTACTTGGATTCGCGAGAAAGGCAGGTTTATCATATTTTCCACCATACAAATCGAACATGTGTTCCTTCTCCGCGCGTTGAGCTAAGAATTGTGCGAACAGGGTACGAGAATAAATTAAAATTTTCTCATACACCAATTGCTCCTGAGGGTCTAATTGCACAGTCACCTCCTCGATAAACTTTTCAGGTAAATTTTCTAAATCACCTTTCGCCATCAATTCTTGTTTAGTTCTTCGTAACATCAATGTCTTCATGACCGTCGCTAATCTCTGATGACCGGCAGCATTTTTATTATCTACCCATCGCTTCCAAACATGTAGATCATCAAATGGTGAACATCGAAGAAACTTTAAAATGGAATACAAATCTAATTCTTTGTTTTGTATAGGAGTGCCGGTAAGAGCCCATCGTTTGGTCGCAACAAGTCCACAAACAGCTTCAGATGCCTGACTCTTATGATTTCTTACTATATGAGCTTCATCGAGTATAACTCTCTTCCAGTTAATCTGTAAATAAATTTTAATAATTTGCGAATCTAAGATTTCTCTCTATTAAAATACGTCTGTATATTATACATTCTAAAAATTATAATTCTATTTCTATTTGTTTTCATTCATTATTCATTAATCAAATAATATTTGTGGGCTTTAACAAGGCTCACCTTGTACAGTGTAGATTTGGATTTATGTTCTCGAGATAATATATTATACGTCGTAATAACCATATCATTTTTCGCCAATCGTTTAGGAACATTCTGTCGATTGCTACCATGATGTACTTCAACAGACAATAAACCGCGTTTGCATCTGTTTCGCACTTCAGTTTCCCATTGCGACAATAAGGATGCGGGACATACTACCAATGTGCCACCTTTAGGATCTAGAAATCACGTATTTAGTATAATTACTTCAATTATTTTATAATGTTAGATTTATATTATACAATGTCACAACATATTTAGGTGACTCCAAGCTAAGAAAAAAATAAATAAAAATAATATAGAAAAACAAGATTTTTATTAAATTCTATAAAATATTATTAAACTCTTACATACATGAAGGTTTCGTCTTACTGGCCCATTCCTCATTATCATCACTATCATTATCAGGATTAGCAAGAGTGGTCATAATCAATGCTATCATAGTTAATGTTTTGCCCAAACCCATATCATCAGCTGTGAATCCAAAAAAATTCAAAAATAAACTTCTTTAGATAAAAGTAATTAAATTCTTTTTTGAATTTAATATTAATATAAGTAATAGTAAATAATGTAACGAGCCAAGACAAGTTTTGAATAAATCTTGTCTACTGAGTAATGTTATCTATTATCTTGTTGATAAATAGAATATTGTGAGAATTGCTATTTCTTAGATATTTACCTAAAACACCACCGGATGGTTTTTGCTGTTCTCTCCATAAAAGCCACGCGAGACCGTGCTGTTGGTGTGGCATTAACTGTACCTTTAATCCTCTTGGATCTTCCGCTTTCTCATTCTCCAATGGACGAGCTATGAGTGATCCGTGCAAATCTTGTAATCGTTCCATTGTTAAAGCAAGCTCCTTATCTCTTGTCGCTTGTGCTTTTTTGCCCAACTCCCTTAATTCAGGAGATGTGGTAGGTTTCGTTGGTATCCCGTCTATACCCAAATATGAATAATCTTCATCATCCAAGTATGGCTCATCTTTGAATAACGATTCCGTTGCCAAATATGAATCTCCTTCATCCAAGTATGGCTCGTCTTTGAGCAATAGTTTCTTTGCCAAGTGTAATTTTTCCGTGACTTTAGTTCTTTGACTATTAAACTTTTGCACCAAAGGGGTATTTTCCAATTCAAGTGTCAATTCTTCGATTTCTTTTTCTTTCTCGCGTATGCTTTCTCGTAATCTCTTCCCCTCATCAGGTAATACTTTGATATTTCCTTCAGTGAGTAATAACTAAAAATATGTCATACATGTATGTTTTTAACTATTCGTACATTGTACACCAATTATCTAAGTTACTTATTGTTAATAATTAAATATGTTTATATGTACTTTTGACTTGGTTAATTGATTTTTAAGCTGTTCTAACTTGCAAACCATCATTGCTCTTTTCTGTGCTACCAATGGATCTATATTTCCAACACCAATTTCTTGTTTCGCAAAAGACATTGCAAATTCGGATTCACTATTTTGTCCAGAACCGGAATCTATAAATTATGATATATAGATAAATTATGATATATATTATTTAAAACATATTTATTTAT